CAAAAACTTCGTTCTTATCCAGCTTTTATTCTTCTCAGATGCAGAAAATGAAGTAACGGTAGCCAACTACAGCTTTCAGCACTCTATATTGGCCCAACGATTCATCATACAAATACATGACAATATGTGACGTCACCGTTTGAAAATATCAAAAATTAGGCATCTTCCCCCGCTTACCATCTTACCCCGAATCACTCTATGTGTCGCAGTCAAAACCAGTTTTTAGTTAGGATGCGTTTTAACTAGTTAAAACTAGAATTTACTGTTAGTCAAAAATGAATTTGAGTTAAAACTAGTTTTGACTATACAAAATGGGTTTTATCAAATACATCCAGTATAAACTAGTTTCAACTAGTTAAAACGCGTTCTAACTAAAAATGGGTTTTGACTGCAACATATATATAAATAATTCGCCACTTATTTGAAAACTTAAAAGTATATTAAAATTTCAAATAAACTGATACAAGTATTTGTAACATTTAGCTTATGTTAGAAATCAGTTTTAATAATGTTTTAATAATAACTAACTAGAATAAAGCATGTTATTTATGTTAAAATTAAAAGAGAAAATTACATAAAACGTTTTAAAATCAAGCCACAGAATGAACAGCGACGGATAGCAACATTTTCAGTTTCAATACCCGATACCGATATTGCCGGTATCGATACCTTAAAATTATTCATGATAACGATAATGATACTTTTGTGTTATCGGGATATCCCCTCGAGATGAACACCCTCTCTAGATATGACTATCTTGAGAGAGTGTTCATCTCATATCTTGAGAGGAGTTGGACTTAATGACCATTTTATTTGTTATTAGCAATTACAATTGTTTTTTTTTTATAAAACTCATCTCTATCCTCAAAATTAAGCTTTTTGCCATTTTATAATACAGTGATACCTCGTGTTTCGTCGATAATCCGTCCGAAAACAATCGGCGAAATCCGAAACCGGCGAAAACTGAGGCAATTTTAAAAAGAAAAAAATATAGTGTTTAATAATAAAAACAATAAACAATAAGAAATTAATATAAAATGGATATAAAAGACTAATGTAAAGAATAAATAAACATTTAACATGGCATTTCCCATGCTGGAGCTAAAAGGAAAGGAAAGCAATGGAATTGGGCATATTCAAATCTCAGCATCAATCCAGTGAGATGCTCTCGGAAGTGACGCAACTGCTGGCGTTTTCTAGAGAACACAAACACCGACTGCCGGGAATTTCGGGAGAGAAAAATAATAAAACTGGAGAATGATGTGGACTTCCACGTTACGTTAAATTTATTTTTGAACTTATTTAATGAGAACAGCTTAATGAAAAATGAATACTTCAAAAATAGAAATAGGAATGATTTTAAAAATTTCCCTAGGAGTTTTAATTAAATAATTAAATCAATCCTAAGATTACACTTTAACAACTAAAAAAAAATTATGTGATGTCTTACGTAAATATACTAGTATATTAAAATATTCTATTAATGCACTAACCTAATCTTAATTTATTCAGAGTTATTCATCAACAAATAAATTAAATTCAAAATTTCCAATGCAAAATAGAGCTCTTACGAGCCTCGCGGTGGCTGCCATCTTATTTGCTGGTGTATCGAGCACTGAAAAAGACGCTTGCAATTTGCTGAAAGCACGCTGAGATTTTGAATACACCTATTGTTTGGCTAGACGCGAAGGGTCAGGGCGAACGCTCTCACACAACGAGAAACAACGCCACACTGAGCAGGAAAACGCATGGTTTCGCAAATTTAGCAGTGAGGTCACGTGAGTACGCCAACGAAATCCGAGGCAACTGACAAAAACCGAGACAATTTTTTCGCGAAAAAAAAGACGAAAACCAAAACTGACAATAACGAAGTCAACGAAAACCGAGGTATTGCTGTAACTAATAATATAAAAGTTATTTTTAAAATAAAATCATATAACTTCTGGGAAAGCTATTTTCTGGATTTTTTGTAAATTTTATTCTTTGTTCTGAGGGCATTAAAGCGTTCTCCGTACTTATTGCTGATTCTGCTAATTTAAAATAAGGTTTTCAAGTGGCGAGGAGAGGAAATGTAAGGTATCCAACCCTATGAAAATTTCTTCGGATTTGATTAATACTCGAACTCGAATCCCTCAGAGAGGTCTGATGACGCCTTTGCCTCCTGGTTATCTGGCCATTTACTGAAATGGATTAGCACCGAACAGAATTAACTCCGAGATGAGACGAATTGATATGTCGGATCTATCCAAATTATGGCGTAACAGTTCATCTTCGTGAATCAAAAGACTTCAAGGGAAGATCAGGATTGTTGTCTACTTCGACTGATAATAATAATAATAATGTCCTTAAAGTAAAACTCAAACAAAAGGATAATTATTATAATTTTTAAATTTTATTTCAGCAACAAATGCAATATACAGTAGACCCCCCTATAACGCGGAGATATGTTCCTCGTTATACGAATTTTGCGTTGTAGGAATCCTTAAGTACATGAGCCAATCGCAGCCCGACACGTGTGAAGTTTACGGACTACGGTTGTTTGAAAGGTTTTCTTCCATAAAATTAATCGATTCTAGACTAATCCGACTCAACATTTCCAAAATACGTATATTTTTTGGAAATAATCCGTATAAACTACGCTATAAACAAAAAATTGTAGGATTACTTACCGAGTGTGCACCATTCGAAATCGCCGTTGCTCAAGCTTGTTTTCGTCGCGGAACAGCGCAGCATACCGCGACCGCGATTTCTGATGTTATTTTTCTGCGAAAACTTCGTTGAACTTTGGAGACATCATTAATATAAATAATTTTAATCGCCGTTGAAAAAGAAATGTTTCATTCACAAGAAATGTATAAAATTACAGTACTGTATTAGACTTACGATACCTAATTTACATACTGTACAGACAATAGCTCGCCTAAACTCTCCGTAGCGTGGCGCTGGACGGCGGAAAGTAGTTCGGCTGCTCGTCCGCGATAACGAGTTGGCGATGACGTTTTACCGCGTTTTACGCGTCCCTTTTAGCGTCTTTATACGAATACTAGCTGTTACCCGCGACTTCGCCCGCGGAGGTTTTGCAAGCAAACCCCATTTATATTCAGTATTTCAACAACCATAGTAATTGTTATATAACACCTACCGCCGAGAATGATGAGAATTGCTGAGAATCAAACAAACTACTTTGAATTTGATCAATTTTCTGGAACGTTTACAATCGTTCTATAATTTGAAAAAATTCGAACATTTGGTTAAAAAATCGAAATATATAAAAATATTTATAGCAATGTCTGAAATGTTATTAATTTAATACACTTAAGTACTTAATGAAGATGAAACGTAACAAAAAATCGCATCTAAAATAGTACAGTAGAAGCCGTTTTTCCGGTTAAGACTTAATCCTCTCCCTCTCTCCCCCGCGGGGGAATTTCGAAAAATCCCTTCTTAGTGTGCGTTTTCATGACGTACCCTAACTGTGTACCAAATTTCACCTCTTTAGGTTCAGCGGTTTGCTCTGGGCGATGATGAATCAGTGAATGAGTCAGTCAGTCAGGACAAGCAATTTTATATATATACATTGTCGCAATTTTTTCGCCGCGTTATAGGAATCTACGTTATAAGAACTCGCGTTATAGGGGGTCTACTGTATTTGAAGTGGAGCGTTAGCAAAGCCTCTTATGTCGTTTATAGAATAGTGTTCGTTCTCATAATCTGTTCGATCGATTTTAATTAAAGTTTGTCATTTTCCATTAATTGCGATGAGGAATCCAAAAATGTAATAAAAAATACAGGGACATGATTCGTTTTCGATATATAAGGTCGTACGTAGTACGAGCGAGGGCGACGAAGCAATATCGCACGAATAGCATGATTTTGTCGGGTGATGTTCCACGGTCGTTAACACGTCTTCTATGGGCTTATTGAATTGAGTTCGTTCTCAAAATTTTATGAGCCATTTCCATTAATAGCGACGACGAATCCAAAAATGCAATGAGGGTCCATTTAAATTTAAAAAATAGGTGTCCAAGACTTCATTTTCGATATACAGAGATATTAAAGTAACAATATCCATTTTGCTAATGCGACTGAGCGCGCCTAACGGAATTTAATGGATCAAAAATAAAAACTGCATTGCATGCGCCTTACGGAAATAAGCGCGAAAAACGAACAAAACACAAGAACAAAGCAATTGCTTTGTTTTTTTGTGTTTCAAGTGCAAGAATCGTCTCTCTATACTCGGCCAATTTAAGGATCGAAAAGTTTCGTCTCTCCCGTGGCCGGCAGGTACAAGGATCGTCTTTTCTGTTTCTAACAAGTGCAGGAATCGCTTCTTTCTTTCCGACTCCGCCTCAATTCTATCGCGATACGACAAAGTCTTACGATGTCCTAGTCAAATAGAATAAAATTTTCTGAGAACGAATTTAATAAGCAAAAAATATATGTGTCTTCTGAATATTATAGCGCAACTTTAAAATAGTCTCTTCAAAAACATTTCTGGAGCTACCTTTACCGCGAGAGAGGAATTGAATTTGATGTCGTCTTGTGATCTATCTCCCGTCTCTCTTCTCTTCGGAGTACAAGCGAGTAGCAATACATTCCTCTATGACCGAAAGGAAAGGAAAGGAAAGGAGTTGAATTTGAGTCCAATCCATTAATGACTTAATTGAGTAAATGTATGTTTGATCACAGATAATTTCGCATAATTGTGATTAGGATGAATAGTTTAACAATTAATATTTATTCTAATCTATTGATATTATCAGTACGCTATATTGATATTTTCTATTTTCAACATCAGTAATGAGTTGAATATTGTATACAGAGTTCCACACATTCTTATAAAATATCCTAAACCATGAGAATATTAAAATTATTTAATGTTCAAATTAATTATATACTGTAAAATATATCAAATTAATTACTATTTAATATTTTAATTATTATTAAATATAAATTATAATTTATGTAAATTAGTACTTTATAATGGTTTGGGACTTGCCTGTAGAGGACTGCAAGAAGTGCTGTATAAAGCTGACAAGATAGGTGATGATATTTACATTTTGTCTCGTTTAGAGTAAGTATTTTCTTTAAAAAATATAATAGTATAATTTTATTAATAATAAAACTGTTAATTTATTTGGGTGAACTGTATTAGAATGGGGCATCGATGTTTAAGCTTCGTACTGTTAATTGCTTTTTGGACGAATTTGACTTTTGTTGAGCTTCAGAAAGTTCAAATAGAAGATTCCTTGGAACAAATAGAAACTTATTTATTAAAGAAAAATAAAGAATATGAGAGATTATTCGAAGAAGCTCTTAATAAATCGAGAGGTCGAAGAAATGTAACTAAAGAGAACATTTTAGGTATTCAAAATAAGTTCTGTGGTTTTTCCCTTTTAGCATTTACAGTTAATTGTTTTTCGTTTCTAATTTTCTAGATATGCAACAACTTAAATATACTATAATACAAACAAAGAAATCAAACTTCTCTACAGATTTTAAAATTTTGTGTTTGTTAAAAGTTGACGATAGCTCTTTAGTTTTCGGAACTGACAAAGGAAATCTTATTTTTTATAATAATAATGTAGTAACTTCATACAAAAATTTACCTGGAATACCCTATCATATAGAAGTAAGTCATGAATTTTTTTTTACTCAAGAATCTCCTCCTGATGAGGATCATTAATAAAGTTTTCCCATAGCATTTCCTGTACAATGGCATTGATCACTTTGTGGTAGGATATAAATCTAAGTCTCAGAATCGTTATTTTATTCAAGCTTTCGTAAGAGATGATGATAAAAAGTACTCTCGAACAACATTCGATTATAAAACTGATTTTCAAGTAGTAAAATTAAAGAGTGATTACTACATGTTCACGTGTAGCATCGGTTCTGAAAGATTAGCAGAGTAAGTACTTTTGTGTAATTTTATTACTATTAATTGTAAACTAGGAAATGACTTAAGTTTCTCACTTATAAACGTTTTTAATTGATTATTCATTCTTTCATTTAGACTATACAAATTAACTCCTCATTTTAATTTTCTTACTGATTATGCGACTAAAAATTCTGTTGCATGTACACTGTGGTTAATGGAAGGATCTCTTTATGCTGTAATTGCTCAAGAAACAGGGAAATCGCCATTGTTAATTTATAATGGTAAGCTTTATCCATTCGTAAAATTTTCTTTAATTATAGTGTAGCTGTATACTTCTGAGTTTTTTTTTAACTCTATACTCTTTTATCATCAGATGTAGTATTTCAACAAATATCCATTTTGTTTTAACAATACACAATTTATTAAAATCAATTTTCTCTTCTACATATGAATTTCGGGTTGACGTAAGATCTCAACCCCTCTTCAATGAATTTTTACGTTTTTTTTTTGTAAAGAACAACTATAGGTGAGAATTCGGGTAAAAGTACATATTCAGTGCTTATAATTTTATATACATCTTAACTATGTGAAGATTGTTAGATAGTAGACTACACTTAACCAATCTTCACAGAATTAAGATGTATATAAAATTATAAGCACTGAATATGTACTTTTACCCGAATTCCCACCTATAGTTGTTCTTTACAAGAAAAAAACGTAAAAATTCATTGAAGAGGGGTTGATCTTACGTCAACTCGAAATTCATATGTAGAAGCGGGGACGAATCTAGGTTTTTCAGGGCCTATGACTTATTGAAGTCCAATGGTGCCCCATTTTTTGTTAATACAAAATTACTATAAATTATCATAGTTAATATTAATAATATATAATGAATACTTTTTCGTTTAGTGAAAAAGTATTAAAAATTTGTAATTTCAATTTTTGTGGGCCCTTGACACTTGGGGGCCCAGGGCTTAAGCCCGATTAGTATCTAATGTAGATCCTCCCCTGTGTAGAAGAGAATTGATTTTAATAAATTGTGCGTTGTTAAACAAATGGATATTTTTGTTTTGGCTGTTTTTTGAAATACTACTAATCATCATAAAGGATTATAGAGTTAAAACCCGCAATGTAAAACCATTTTACAAATGAATTTTTGTAAATTTTATCTATTTTTAATCAGAGAATACTAAAACACTGGCTCTTCTTCAAATGATTTCTGTGGAAAGACCATCTAAAGTAGCTCATTTTGCAATCAACAAATATCACTATTTAATTTTTCTTGCAAATGGAATTCCAACAATACATTATTGGTGGGAAGGTAATAGAATTTACTGTATACGTGCATTGGTGTGTGTATTTATAGAGAATAACTAATATCCAATTTTTCAGGTGATCAGTTTCTAGAGCAGCAACAACTCAAAGTAAATGCTTTTGATTTGGATGTTGGGCAATTAAAAACGGGGAAAATATTAATTGGGATTGCTACAAAGGTAATAGAAAATATTTATTTTTTTTATTCATTTTTTTTAAAACTAATTTGTGTGTTTTTATAGAAAACAGTGATGTTCTTCGTGGAATATGTCAAGGGCAAATTGTGTGTTTTTATAGAAAACAGTGATGTTCTTCGTGGAATATGTCAAGGGCAAATTTAGGCCAGCTGGAAATTTTTCCGTAGATTCGACTATCGAAACCATAAAAATTATCAATATCGCTAAAGATTATATTCTCATTAATTTTGAAGAGAGATCCTCTGAAATACACGAGCTAATTATCGAACAATCTTTGGAACCCTATGGTAAGTTATGAATAACAGTTTTTGTATGAATTTCGTTTTCCAATCTTTTTTCTCCCTTCTCTAGACAAAAAGAACGAAACTTCATTAAAGCCTTTATTCCAATGTCTTGTTTCTTTAAATGAAACACTAACCGAACGTTCTAAAAGCATACATAATATGTTAATAAATGCTTCAAAGGTATGGACTACAGACAGACATCATAAACGAATCGAGGCACACGTGATCATTAAAAGTAAGAAATGACTTCGTAGTTTTTCAATTACGTTATATTAATAATTTTATATTCAAAAATACAAAATTTTCAGATGATTTGATTGTCGATAAAGCTGTCTTTATTACTGATGTAAATATGGAATTCGATAATGATATTTTGAAGAATGGATATCGTAAGTCTTTGCAGGATTACTTAGCATTATTTGGCAATTTGCAAGCAAAAGCAAGACGTGCTGTCACAAAATCGACATATCAAGAAATAACTGGTAATATTAATTTTATAAAATCTGTTTTTTAAATAATACTAAAGTATCGTATAATCTTTTTTAAAAGGTAACATCAAATTTCAATATCCAATTGAATCTGTACATACAAGAATAAATTACTTACCGAATGATATCATTATTAATAATATGTCACTGAAAGTATTAGAAAAATATGCATTGAAAACGAAGCAAATAACAAGGGAAAGCTTTAGAATGAACTTCGTCAAGGCACAAGAAATTATAATTGAAGGAAAATTAAATGGAATATTTATTAAAGGTAAAAAGCAAATTGTTCAATGCCTGCTTCCGGAATTTAAAACACTTTTTTTTAATATTTTCAGATCTGTTTTTGATTAACGGAATGCAAACTATTACTGGTAACCTAAGTTTTATGGATATTTACATCAATGAAGATCTTAATGTGAAAAGAACAATCAACGATATTAGTTTTGATGAAATTGTTTCCAGAGAGAATTTCGTTATATATGGGCGAAAGGTTTTTAATCGAATTTTAGTTAAGAAAAATATAGAAGTCCGCACAAATACAAATAAAGTATGGAGTGTACTTTTTTTTAAATAATGAAATTCTTATCGTGGTCTAAATTAACATTTTTATTTTTAGTTGAAACTTTCGTCAGTAGCAAGAAAATTAGTAACTACAAAATCAGATCATAGTCTATCTGGAAATATTTTATTTAAAGATCACGTTATCATCCATAATTTAATCTTAACTGGTTCAGTTAACGAAAAGGAATTTGAAAAACTCTACTCTGAAGCTGTGTTGATTGATCGTAATCATCATACAACAATTAAAGGTGTGTATTTAGTTATATTTTAATGACAAATGAATATTTTTTCACTGTCCATGTAATTTTTAGGTTTGAAAACATTTAATAACGTCGTAACTGTCGCTAATATGAAGGTTTACGGACAGTTTAACAATCGAAGTTTGGAATCGCTACTGACAACACACACAAAGCAACTTATAACTAATACTGTTACATTTAAAAACGTGATTATTTTCGAAAATGATCTCATTGTAGATACAATTAACTCTATAAAATTTAGTGATGCGGTTTTGTCGTTTCGAAACGAGATCATAACCAGTAGAAAGATTTTCGAAAGCAATATCATTGTAAATGATATCGAATTGGGAGAACATGGCACCATTAATGGCATAAAACCTTCTGATCTATTACAACTATACCAATTGATAACTGAAACCAGATATGCAGATATTGCAGTAAATAGTACAAATTACATAAAATATTCAGAAGATATTAGAAATATTAATATTTCTAATATGTGGAGAAAGTCAAAAAATAAGGTAAGTAGAACTTAACGAATCTCTAAACTTATTTTGTAACAATTAAAGCATTCAGTTTTTCTTTTAGACAATTTGTGTTCCTGTTAATTTTGGTAATACGGTTGTTTTCGAAAATAGCTTGACAGCAGACGTGTTCTTAAAAAACAAATTAATTTCGAATTCAACCAATATCATCAACGCAAATATAACGTTCGTAGACGACGTTACGACTTTTCTAATCAACCATATTTGTGGTAAAGTTAATGGGATAAATCTTTATCAGCTAAAAAAAGTAACTAGTATAAAATTTTCTTCAACATAGAATGCGAAAAATGCAAAAAACTTTTTCCTAATTCTAATTTAATTTTCAGGAAATTTTCTTGATTTCAAATCCCTGGAAATGTAAAGGAACGAAAACCTTCCATTCTTTAAGTGTTAAGAATAGAATTACAACAAAGTTACTTAATGGATATGATACATCAAATATCGTGTTGTTGCATACTGATCAATATATAATTGGTAAGATTTAAGATTTTTGGAATAGTTCTCCTTCAGTCTCTCTCTCCTTACAATTCTCTCCATTCGAATTTTTCTTCTACTGCCTTTAAACTGCGTTTTAATCAACAACTATTTGGTGTCACTCTTCTATATTTTGATGTTTATGCGTTTCAAAACTATATTGTAATTTTCCGGCTGCCAGTGCCTTAACATGTTCAAACCATTCTAATCTTCTCTGCTGATAATTCTTTCTAATACTTCTTTTTAATATTGAAAAAACAATTTTAAACATATTTTTAACAGGACATATTCGTTTTGAGAATGTGCTTGTCCATAATTTAAGGGTAAAGAATTTATTCGTAGCGAATATTAATGAATATTCGGTAGAAACATTCCTAAGTGAAATTGTCACTCAAAATTCCCAAAATGTAACTTTAACGGATAAAGTATTCAACAATATAATTGGTAAGTCTTTATTATATTAAATTTTTGATTTTCAGATGACTTTTTTTTTTACTTTTTTTAAAAATATTTTGTTTTTAAAAACTTCAGTCAAAGGTTCAATAACAGTTAAAGGTATGATCGATGGAGTAGCAATTGAGGAATTTATACGTAGAGCAGTTACTCAAAATTCTAAACAAACTATTGTTCAGAAGATATTTACAAATGACTTAATTTTCGAAGATGATCTGTCTGTTCATAGTTTAAATAATTTAGATATTGTTGATCATATTAACCGTGTGGTTTTCGTTGATCAGAAAGAAATATATGGGCAAAAGATAGTTGAAGGGTAACTTATTTCTTTTCCTTCTCTATAAATTTAGACAATTTTTTTTGTACTTTATTTTGCTGTTCTTGCAGAAACGTGGAAGTGAAAGGAGAACTAATCATAGAAGGTTTAATCAATGGTGTAAACATAGAATTGTTGAACCAAAAAGCATTGTCAAAAAATAAATCTAATAAGTTTAATTCTTTTACGTTCTATAAAGATGTTATAATAGGTAATTAGGATATATAACTTTATAAAAATGTTATATTAGTTACTAAAAACTGATGTTAATCATTTATTTTAAAGATAAATTGTATACGAAAACTTTAAATAGACAAGATGTGAATAACTTAGTCACCATCAACGGAAACGAAACGTTAAATTATATTCTAATTACAAACGATATAATGGCTTACAATATAAAAATAAGAGGTTTACTAAATAGTAACAACATAACAAAGGTGAGGTTTTTAAAAATCATTTTGTACAAAATACAATATTTAATTTTTGTTTAAATTCTTCTTTTTAGTTTAAAGAAAGAGCATTGTATAAATATAAACACAATCAGACCATAACTAAAATGAAGAAAATAAAAAATTTGATAGTCGAAGGAAACGTCAATTTTCAAGGCAAAGTTAACGATGAAGATCCTTCGACTGTTTTCAAATCGCCTGTTAAATTAACTGTGTTGAATTACACTCGAATCCATGCAAAGAATATGTATGTAAGAACCATCAACAATGTGGATCTTTCTTTCTTAAGAGATATCGTACTTAAATCTGAAGAACATGTAAGTGGGCCTATAACAAACTTTTTCTCTTTTCTATAGAATTTTTGTTTCTATAAAAACAAATTTTTCAATATTTCAGCTCATTAAAGGTGTGACGATCTTCTCAAATGTATCTGAAATGATAATAGAGAGAGACCTAGAAATCAGGAAAAATCTTTCTGTTAATTCTATCAACGATCTTATTATGTCTAATGTCGTTACTAAACATTCTGTTCAAACTATTTATGGAAATATTAAATTAGAAAACTTAATTGTCGACAACCTCTACGTTACTGAGAGCATAAATGGATTATCCATTCCCAAAGACCTCATACTGAAAAATACCGATGAAGTTGTCCATGGAACAACGTACTTTAATGAATTTATACAGATGAATAAAAATTTAAATGTTTATGGTATGATTGAAAATGTTAATGCTTCTCTTATTTGGAACGCATTGCTGAATAAAGAATATAGGTGGAATTTTCTCAATGACGTCTTTATTGACAGTGAGTATCTCCTGCATCACAGATCATAAGAATAAAAACTGACCTTTTCTTTTTTTTTTAATTTAGAATTGATCATACGTGAGAGTATAAATGGAATAAGCGTAGAAGAATTTGTATCCTCTTCTACCGAAGTAATTACAGGTGTTAAAATTTTCAAAAGTTTAACTACAGATGTTTTGAATACAACCTTCATTAATGGTTACAATTTGACGAATATCATCACGTCTATCTATGAAAACAACAATCCGAAAATAATTATGGTATTTCTTTTTGCCTTACTGTTTTTTGTTTTTATTTTTTATTTTTGTTAATTATTAAATTCTTTAGGAAATTAAAAACAAAGTAACGGTGGAGAAAATTACGGTTAGGAATACTTTTAATGATAATCCTATCCATAAGATAGGAAGCTTTACCATAGGCACTCTGGATAACTTAACAACCAACTTGGTCAATTACAACTCATACATTGAGAAATATTCAACTTTGTACAGTAAGCAGATTTTTTAAATTTAATTTATTATTCTTATATAGATTTATTCTAAATTTTAATTACTTTTATAAAATATTTGTAGGTAGGATATCCGAATTTGCTTATTTCAGCACTGTTCATGAATTGTCCTTAGGCCCCATTGCGAAGATCATATCTCAATCCAATACATTTGAACAGTATACATTATTTTCTGTTTTTTTTTCTTAGTTAATTTTTAGTACATATTTTTCAATTATTTACAGATTCAGCTCGAAAAATTTGCTAACAATTTGGGTTAATGCAAGATGTAACAGATTCTGCTGTAAAGACTATACTTACTTCTTACAACCTAGCGATAGATTATCGGATATAAAGGGACCTTACGAAGGGCGTCACTTGTCTATTGTAGGAACTGTTCTGTCTAATATGACAAATGGAAAAAATGCAATACGTATTGTAAGAAAAGAGTGAGTACTTTTCTAAGTGTTCTATTCTCCTCCCTCCTCTCTTCAATTTGTAATTTATTTTACTTGCTCAGATGCTCCGAGGTAATATGTGAAACATTAGTAATGAAAAACATTCCTTTTGTGGAGAGTAGTACATTTATAGATGAGATGACGCTGCCTATGATGGAGATTGAAGATGCTAAAGTTTTTCGAGCAAATAATGAGTTATTTTTGGTCGTTTTTACGTCTAACGATTCAACGAGTAAGTATTTTTATTTTTGAATAATTGTCTTTATACATAATAGTAACCCAAACAATTTTTATTAGCCTTAAAAAGTGCGATAAGAGTCTATCAATATAAGGACGGATGGGAAGAACGTCAAATGTTATCAACATTTTCAGCAAAATCAATAGATTTACTTAACGGTTTAAAGGAAACCGATATTTATTTGGCGGTGGCTAATCAGGTGTTGGTGCAAAATTGTAAAAATCAGAGCCTCATTTATAAATGGGATACCTACAAGAGAAAGGTAAGGAAACTGTTTAAATTTCTCTGGATTTCATCATAAATGACGATCGACTATTTCAGTTTCTACCATTCCATCCCATGCCATCGTGTTGTGCTAATGTTGTGTTATGGATAAGTCGAAGAGGAGAATATTACTTAATAGTAGGATATAAAAACGCTCAAAGAAATTTAAAGGGTTATTCTTTTCCAATGTCCCTTTACGTTCTGGACAAAGGAAAATTTTACATTCTTCAAACAGTTCCTAGTTATCACGTTGTTTCAGTTGATTTCATCTCATTAAGAGGTAATCTTACTCAATATTTCTTAAGTTTCTTATTTTAGAATAAAATTACGATTGTTCTTTTTCAGGTGAGGATTATGTACTCGTGGCAGACTCATTACATGATGTGCTTCGCGTTCTTCAATGGAGAGGATATAATCTCTTCGAAGAAATTCAAGCAATAAAAGTAAGCGGAGTGAGTCATGTTGCACACTATTTCTGGAATGATCGGCTCTTTATCGTTGTGGCATCTTCAAACAAAATCTTGCTGATGGAAGCAATGATCAGGGGTTCAGATATGAAATTTTCATGATATTTTTCCTGTAAGATTTCTTTAGGAAAGAAATAAATCTTCTGAATCATTTAAATAAATATTTTTCCTATATTTTCATGTAGTTGGAGATCATTTTATAATCGCATAAAAATCAAATACGTAAAGTTGTTATTCATTCAAGAATAGTATTTAATTTCTTTTTACTAATTGAAATATTTAGAGATTAGTTCGAGAATTACACTTGATCACAAAAATTAATTACTTGAAACATTGCAATAAGAGATATTTGCAAAAATAAAACAAAACCTGAGGGATCGTTATTACTCTTAAGCATTAGTTAATCAACATCAGTAGATAATACTCAAAACTTAAGAATACAAACTATATAGTTTTTTTCGCTTGGCTTGGTGTCACGATTTTTATACACGAGTTGACTGCCTGTAGGTAAGTTGTGTGCATACAAACTCATGTATAAATTGATCAATAACAAAATATATTCTAATCCAATAAGATGGTGAATTGTTACTAAAACGTAACTGCGTTTCTTTATTTAGATTTTATTTTTGGTGTAAATTTGTTTTTCCACATACGTAAACTCACTGTAAAACTTTTAGACAGAAAAAAGTTGTAGCTGCACTCTATACCGAAATACGTTTAAACATAATGCTGGACAATTTTTAGTTCAAACTTTATTGCTTAATTTAAATATTTGTAGTGTAAAACCACTTGAATCTACATTGTTATGCTATAGAACAATGTATTGTGCTTTACAACTAAGTCGAAGATAAACAGTTAACGCTTTATCCAATTGAATCTGTACATACAAGAATAAATTACTTACCGAATGATATCATTATTAATAATATGTCACTGAAAGTATTAGAAAAATATGCATTGAAAACGAAGCAAATAACAAGGGAAAGCTTTAGAATGAACTTCGTCAAGGCACAAGAAATTATAATTGAAGGAAAATTAAATGGAATATTTATTAAAGGTAAAAAGCAAATTGTTCAATGCCTGCTTCCGGAATTTAAAACACTTTTTTTAATATTTTCAGATCTGTTTTTGATTAACGGAATGCAAACTATTACTGGTAACCTAAGTTTTATGGATATTTACATCAATGAAGATCTTAATGTGAAAAGAACAATCAACGATATTAGTTTTGATGAAATTGTTTCCAGAGAGAATTTCGTTATATATGGGCGAAAGGTTTTTAATCGAATTTTAGTTAAGAAAAATATAGAAGTCCGCACAAATACAAATAAAGTATGGAGTGTACTTTTTTTTAAATAATGAAATTCTTATCGTGGTCTAAATTAACATTTTTATTTTTAGTTGAAACTTTCGTCAGTAGCAAGAAAATTAGTAACTACAAAATCAGATCATAGTCTATCTGGAAATATTTTATTTAAAGATCACGTTATCATCCATAATTTAATCTTAACTGGTTCAGTTAACGAAAAGGAATTTGAAAAACTCTACTCTGAAGCTGTGTTGATTGATCGTAATCATCATACAACAATTAAAGGTGTGTATTTAGTTATATTTTAATGACAAATGAATATTTTTTCACTGTCCATGTAATTTTTAGGTTTGAAAACATTTAATAACGTCGTAACTGTCGCTAATATGAAGGTTTACGGACAGTTTAACAATCGAAGTTTGGAATCGCTACTGACAACACACACAAAGCAACTTATAAGTAATACTGTTACATTTAAAAACGTGATTATTTTCGAAAATGATCTCATTGTAGATACAATTAACTCTATAAAATTTAGTGATGCGGTTTTGTCGTTTCGAAACGAGATCATAACCAGTAGAAAGATTTTCGAAAGCAATATCATTGTAAATGATATCGAATTGGGAGAACATGGCNCCGATTTCCCTTTTAACAGTCTAAACAACTTGTTTATCCACTTGATTTGCCTGTCTATTTATGCCATTACTGTTGAGTGAACCTGTAGTCTAGTAAAATTACGGTTTAACCGAGCATTAATTATTGCTCAATAAGATTGGGGCTTTTCATGTTTTTACTGGACTACTGGTATTAGGAAAAATGAGGCCTGAATTGTATCCCCACCATGCAATGCATGTCACTGCGTGCGCACATTACTTGATATTTAGCATATTTATACATTATGTTTGTTACAAAATTTGAAAGATTCATGTATTATTCTGCATGTTATAAATTCACAGCCATTACTTTCAAGGTCAGTACACAATTATAATCTCTATTTAACAATGTGGAAATCAAATTTTGAAAAAATTGCTGAAGATTTATTGCAACAAATATTCCATTAAATTTTGTTAGAAATTATTGTAGAATAATTTAAATTTTCTTTATTGTTAATTATAATTATTTATTTTTAGGAAATGTAATTTATGCATGTATTGAAATGACTTCTGCAATTTTATATAATATACTTATCAAATAATAATAAATAAATGTATGTACCTGATTAAATTTATTATTATTTATGTAAAATAAGTAATTCACTTTTATAGTTAGTTAGAGTTTTTTTATGGTGCTCAGTTATAAGGACTGTATACATCTAATGCAGTAATTATAACATTTACATACAAAAATATAAGGGGTGCTTGAGAAACAACTACAGTCGACCCCCCTATAATTACGGTCCCTATAATTACGATTCCTATAAAACTACGAAAAAATATACGTATTTTGGAAATGTTGAGTCGGATTAGTGTAGAATCGATTAATTTTATGGAAGAAAACCTTTCAATCAGCCGTAGTCCGTAAACTTGACACGTGTCGGGCTGTGATTGGAACGACTTGTAAGAAATCGGATTCGTAATAAATTGGAACGTATCTATATCTTATACGGGGGTCGACTGTAATGGGCTAATGGGGTACATCAGCAAAAAAGGTTTAGAACCGCTGACCTAACTTAATCCTGTATAACTTTATATTAAATATAAGAAAAAAATACTACTTACTATGGATGTTACCAATTTAACTTTAAAAGAATTAGCAACATTGGCTGCATTCAATCAAGCCATTCACCCTCATTATCTACCTGTTATCTTTGGTGTTGCACAGTTTGGACTTTTCATGAACATTTTTAAGCCTGATTCTGACATAATTTTGAAAAACAAACCAAATGAAGTACCTAGTAATGATGCATAAAGAGTGTTACAAAAAAAAGAGAGAAAATTATTCAAACAACACAGAATAATTTTTCTCTCTTTTAGTGTAATCATTTCAAAAGTTAATTGCAAAGTAAAGTAATAAAAATTAAGGTTTAATAGTAACTTTTCATTTCATCCTCCTATAGTTTTTGTGGATTTTATGGCCTATTATTAAGTCAGTCTAAATGCTTTTTAAGTAAATTATTATTATTATTATTATATTTTTATTATTTCCTGATTATCACTTACTGAATCCACACTAATTTTCTGGAATGCATTAACTGCATTAAGCAGAGTATTCCTGTATTATTCAATAGCATCTACTCTTGAAAATTTTAAGCAAAGAATGTTACATAATTTATCATTTTAAACATATTTTATTAATGTAATTAAGCAAATTTTAAAATCAATGTATTTTTTCATAAAAAACACATATTACAAGTAAATAAATATATGAATATTAGAATCATATTAAAATTAATACCAACCATACATATCAGGCACTTCATTTTCTCTCCTACTTTTTGCNGTTACTGAGTTAAAAGCAGTTAACACCAAAATTTTAGAAATCATCATTTTAATGTTACATTTATTTCAATTAAATTCATCTATTAAGAACAGTACTTAAAAAATGATTATCTATGAAAATTTAGTGCTACATTTATGGATCTGAATAATTTGCCGGAATTTAATAATATTACTTTAGATTTGGGTTTGAACAAATTACGTTTCGAAAAGGAACGTTACCCAAAACATCCGTCACAATACTTCGCCCAAGACGACTGACATTGTGACACACAAGATGTCATAAGCCCATAAACTCACCCAGATGTAAGTGATTGCTTGAGGAGCAAACCTCTTCCCAAATTCTGCTAAGTCGCAGGAAATGATAGATGAAGGATGTCCGTAAAAAAAAGGAGAAAAAAAGATAGATCGACTACGTTTCAGAACCGAGACAGGCAAGGCTACTGATTTGAAAATTACGAGATAAACGATATGATTCTCAATCGGTTCATAATAGTAATAAGTGACGTAATTAATACGAAGCTTAACAAAAATAACACTTAACAGTGAAAACTGTAATCCAAGCAAAACATCTGAGATAGGATATATATATCCTATATATAATTATATATCTAAATAGCGCCAAGTAAAAACTTCTCACAATTTCTAAAATTTTTACTTTCTTCTTAGTTTTTCTTTTGATAAAGATAAGCTTGGCGCTTGAAAGCGATTTGTAGACGACAATAATACGGATAAAAATCTTTGGATACATGGTGTAGCGGCCGCATAAAATCTGCTGATTTCTATGACGTTCATTGGAAAAATGAATAAGGATGGTTACACTAAATAATAGTTTCCTAATGTTTTTTTAGCAGTTTTCTTCCATGAACTTATACGCTGTGATACTACTTTTGTATTCGTCCATAAAACTATAAAGAGGAGAGGTTGAACTTTATTCCACTAAATGCGTGCATGGTGTTGCGGCTGTGTAAAACTTCAAACGTTCAAAACTTCCCGTTCAAGTGAACGCTTTTGAAAAGTGCACTTTAAGTGCATGTTTCGAAAAAATGTTTTATGAAAAGTTTGTTTTTGAAATAGAATCATATCCAATAAAAATGTGGGCTCCCATTTTTAAGAAAATGAAGTTGACACTAAAATCGGTGAAAACGGGTCATATATGATACAATAAGTCTCTTGAAGTCTAAAATTTTTTGATTTACTGAATCTGTCTGTAGAACACGTAGCTTTCGAGTTATTCCAGTGAAATAAATGGACTCCCGGTATAATTTTGAATGCCATTTTTAGACTCAAACAATTATCGACCAATACAAATACAGTACAATGAAAAATCATTGTAGCATCAAGTAAACCCTTATTTGATTTTGTTCATCTGGGTAACTTCCCTTGTAAGAAAAATGACCAAAATATCGGTGATCATTTCATTCTGTATTTTAATGTAGTCCATTCAAGTGAATGCGCGCTGTACTCTATTCCATCTGAAGTCGTTCAATAAAAAAAGGTGGTGTCGTTGGAATCAAGTGCCCTCGTAATTATGTACTGGTTAAAAGAAACTTTTTCTAACATTGTTATTATTACTTCTTTTTAGCAAATTCAATTTTGGCAATTTTAAAAGCATAATGTCAAATCCAAAACCAAGTCTGAAAACACTTTTGTTCTAATTATAAAAAAAAAAAAAAATTTTAATACGCATATTTTCTGCATTAACTACTAGCCGAATGTAGCCTAACAGCATTGCATCGTAAATTTGAAATGCGTTTTAGTCATCTACTTTTTCATGCATTTCGAATAAATGGCAAAATATTTTGAAAAATATTTTTAACTTGATTGAAATGATAAACAGAAGTTGTTGGAGGAATGCCTATATAGGCACATCAAAAATAATAATCATATTTTTGTGTCATCATCGCTAAATTATTATTAAGTCTGTAATTTTTAAAAAGATTGTTCAGAAAGATATGTACCACCACCACTACAAAATACAATAGGTTATATGCAAAAATGTTTGTGAAAGCGTGACCTTCAATATAGCAAACAAAATATTGTCAATTGTAAACATTTTGCCTACTTAAAGCAGTGCCAGGAGGTGAAAAATAATAATGAAGTAAGCTTTGATAATTCTGCCCACACTGTACCGGAAAATGAATAGGAATACAAACTTCTACTGATGCACTTTTTGCAGACTCGCACCTTTTTTTGTTTTTACAATAAACTCTTCTTAAAAATACTAACTTGTAAGTAAAACGTTCTCTAGCCACCTCATGCCACCATCCAGCCGACTTACCATTATTCAGTCCTAACTTGTATTTCCAATGGATAAAATGTAAAAATGTAAATGGAGATGACTGTCTAAATAACCAAGTCATTTATATTTAGAAACCATTTTTTTCTGAATTGAAGATTGTATTTTAGTAGCAGTAATGTTATGTATGTAAACCTTCAGAGAAACCCACACCAAAATGCCCCTTGACCTAGTTAGGCGACCTCGCACCTCCTGTGTTCCTTTGTCTTCGATCAGTCGTGCGTTAGCTGTAGTGACACTTAAACATAACTTTGTGCCTTCAGGTCTGATTATAATAAAGTTAAACGAATCTTGTTAACATATATAATTATTTTACGGACACAAGTAGTAGTTACTACCTTGTAATATTATTATTATTATTATTCAGTAATTTCCCAGACTAATGACAGTATGCAGAAGAAAGTGATTTGTAACTTTTATTTAAACACACAAACCCTTCAAAATAATTTCGCACGATTACGATGCACTTTTGCCATCTTTCATTCCATTGCTGGAAGCATTTCCGGAAAGCATATTTCGCAACCATCGGAGTGTCGCTGTCAAAGCCTTGATAACTTTATCTTAGCTGCCAAACCATTTAGGGACTGTACATAAATGGCGTGCATACTGGGAGGGAGGGATTCAACTTCAGTTGACGTCTGTTTATTTCATTGAGGCATAGAAGTTTTGCTAATGCTCCATAGCTTATAGAATTGTTCGTTCTCAAAAATCTGATCGATCAATTTTGATTAAACTTTTCCATTAATTGCGATGAGAAATCCAAAAATGTAATGAGGGTCCATTTTAAATGTAGAAAATAGGGGTCCATGACTTCATTTTTGATGTACAGAGCTGTTAAAGTGACAATGTCAGTGTTTTCTGATGTAACTGAGAGCGCCTAAGGATCAAAAATAAAAAAACAGCATTCATTGCGTGCTTCTAACGGAAAATAGACGCAAAAAACGAACGAAATACAAGAACAAAGCAATCTCCATCGATCGCTTCTTCGTGTCTTTTTTTTTTTTAACTCTTTCCGCCCTGTGAGCACTAAGAGGGCCTCTTTTTGCAAGCCCATTATGGGTTCGGCCAGGCGGTGAGGGGCGGGGCCCGACATATCCGAACTAACCGCCCCCCGAAAAATTCCTGGGAATTTTTCGACCTGTTCGGATTCGAGCCCGGGTCCCCCAGAGTGGTAGGCTGCCACCTTGGCCATTCGGCCGCCGCTTCTCCGTGTCAACAGGTATGAAGATTGCATTTGCCTCCACAAAAGAGGCTAAGTTCGCTTGTCCAAGGATCATTCTTTTGTTCCTAAAAAAAATCCTCGTACTTGTTATTTCCGGCTCCGTCTCAATTTTATCACGATACGACAGTCACACGATTCCCTAGTTAAAGTTTATACAGTTTATGCATTTTATCGTATTTATTTCAAAATTTCTTGTATGTTTCGTTTCTACTTATGGTATATATTATTCAGTGATAAAAATTTTAAGAGGGATTGAGTTTTGTTGTACGTCCGAAAAGGGGAGAAGTTACGGAAACTTGGTCAAACTGAGACCGAGAGGGCAGGGGGAGTAAAAATGTCATAAAAAATGGAGATCTAATTTATGGACACAACTTATCGCAAAAAAAAAAACAAATTGCAGGGTGAAACGTCTGGAGAATATGGCAGACGATATCCAAAAAATGTCATCAGGACAGATCAAAAAACACTTCTATGTGGAATTCATACCAGATGGACCAGGTCAATAAGTAGAGGTATTGTGTAAATCTTGAACAATCTGAGTGAGGGCACACATCAAAAACATCCAGAGCTATGGACAACAAAAAAATAAATATTGCTGCACGATAATGCCCTAGAACAGTGATTTTCAACCGGTGTGCCTCGGAAATTTTTGAAGGTTGTTAAATAAATTATTTTCGATAAAAACCCAAAGAACAATAAATGTACATGTAAAAATTAAAACCTCTTTAAATTGATTATAAGACTTTTTCATTATTTATACGTTTATTTATTATAATGTAGTAAAAAATTTATACTCGTAAGCAAAACCCGTTTGTTATGCACACAATTATTTCATTTAAAATGAAATTTTCTTTAAATCAAAAATGTATCTATAATTGTCCATATTTAGTTCAAATTATTTTAATTTATGAAAAGCGAAACATTGGGTACGTTTCTAAAAGCAATTATCATGCCACTTTTAAAGTAAAACTTAATGTTAATTGCTTTTCTTATTTATGTAAATAAAAATTATTAATTTAACTGTTATTGTAACCTGCTGCTATTTTAAGGAACAACAATACTTTTTTATTTAATTTACATAACCTAATTCTTTTTGTCTATATTTTAAGTGGCAAGTAATATGGTGATATGTTTACAAACACAACTTTACGTGATTTTTTCACGGAAATTTAATTTAATTATAGGTGCAAGTGTGCCGTGGGTAAAAAAAAAGGTGAAAAACACTGCCGTAGCATATCGCTCCATCTTTGTCCAGAAGGAGCTAGCCAAACACGGCACAGTTAAACTTCCTCATCTACTGTATTCTCCAAACATTTCATCCTGCAACTTTTCCTTTGTCCTTATCTCAAAATATGCTTAGCATTGGACAACTTGGATGAAGTTATCTGTTTTGATGGCAACACTCCAATAGATCGTGAAAAGTACCTTCCAGAAATGCTTTCTAGCAGTTGTACAAAAGATGGGAAAATTTTTGAATGGGTTATATTTAAATAAAAGTTACAATCACCTCCATTTGCATGCTGTCGTCAATCACGGGAAATTATTGACTATACTGTATATCATCATCATTTTTTCTTTCATAATAATAATTTTGTACTCGGAGATGGTGAGGCCATTGAATCCATGATTGACAGTAAAATCTAGATATTTAGGATTCTAACAGACCAAACTCACAGAGTAACAAAAGAATACAACAGCAGATTAAACTCAATATTAATAACACAGCTGAATGCAAACAGGTATTTAAAACTATTAACACATGTTGTCCCCATACTCACATATTAATTTGTAGTTATACAATGGACCTACACAGAACTAGAACAAGTTCAAAGGAAAACAAAAACATTAACAAAACAACAAACACCACTTAAGTCATCTGTAAATCTGTCCTCCCTCTTTACAAGCAAAAAACAAAGCCTGGCAGATATAGTAAACCTTCACTATAAGCAAATATAAATACTGTGAGAGTTTTCTATAGAAAAAAAATCACAATTAAATAAAGCAGTATACCATTAAACCTATACAACACTGGCCTGGATCTAACACAGTATACATAATGAACAGACACAGTCTGGCAATATTGGACTCAGAAGTCCACAATAGGCATCCTGGCAATCTCAGCCAGGATTATGTTGATAGAACTGCATCAAACTGTTGGCTGATTATTGGATGCCTCTTTTGGAGATGGAAAGATTTATGATTGGTATACAAGACTGAGTCATAAATACAAGAAACTTCAGTAGGAACATTTTAAAAGATACAACACGGATGACATTTGAATAAAAGTCACACCAGACAAAAAACTACATTATATCGGATTGCAAGCTTTTAACACAAACTGACTACTTACATGGAAATAGAAAATATAATACATCAGAAGCTTGCACATAAACACAAACTTCTATACACTCAGGAACCATACTACAAATACACACACCAGAAGTCACAGAAAACAACACAGACAAAATAAACTATGACTCTGCCATAATCATAAAGATAACATTATATCTCATTTATTGGCAAACAAAAAAAATCACATACATCATAGACACATTTGTTCCAAACATCCACAACATACAAAAATACATATGCTGAAAAAATTAGTAAATACTCCAAACTTGCCCACAAAATAAAGCATTTGTGAAAAGATACTACATTACATATAAGATACTGAGCCAAATAGTTCTTTCTTATAGACATCATACCATATATACTAAACAAAAATCTAGAAACATTAGTATTTTACAACAGCACATACATCACATTCCAGAAGACTGCCATACTAAATAGATATACTGTATATACACAAATAGCCTACATGATATAATTTGCTGAAGATATAAGGTAACCTCCAAATGTTTAAAGTTTTTGGATTTCTCAATGATTTTGTTTTTTAAACTCTCTCTGTCCTGTGAGCACTTTTAGCACTTTTTTAGCAAGTCCATTATGGTTTCAGCCAGGCCCACAATGGTGTGGCCAGCTAGTGAGGAGATAAGACCCTAGGATATCTACAAAGACTTTCCAAAAATTACTGGAATCTTGTCAACTTGTCTGGTTTACTGCTCTGGGAGACCCAGGATTGAGCCTGCTACCTTAACCACTCGGCCATCTTGGCTGTCTAAGATTTTGTTTTATAATTGGACAATATATTTTGATTTCCTTCATGAGCTGGAGAGTTCAGATTATATATAGTTTAGATTAGCCAGATTGTATTATATCTAAATTGATGAGTATTAAAAATAAACGTTTATCCAATTGATATAGAATTTATAAAACTATATGATATTAAAAACAGTTTTAAATGTATTTTCAAATTCTGTGAAATTATTTTCATGTTTGTATTTTAAACAAAACCAAATCATTATTAATTTAAACTTTTATTACAAAAACATGTCAATCACAATTAACAGTAAATTTATTAAATCCTAATTTTGAAAATTTTGCCAGAAATAATATAAACATAAAAATATTGGTGATAAGGACTATCAATTGTTTAATATTTGACAAATCATGATGATAAGAAACAATCACTTCTCTACATACATGTGTAAAATACACTGTACATCAACATGGAAACAACAATTTAATACATGAAGTCTTCAATTACTTTTCCTGTTAAAATATAGATGCAAGCAAATTTATTCAATTACTGGTCTAATTTTATATCTAAAAAAAGACCAAATAAGAATTCATTTTAAAGCAGGTTTATAAAGCCTGTTTTAAAATGCACTATAATGGCAGTGTTATCAAAAATGAAATTATGAATATGATTACCCTTTTTTAATTATTAAAACATTCATAGCACTGTTCTATACATAATCACAATATACATAAAATTTTATTCATGCAGTGTATACATATGCATGGACCTATGTAAATAAGCCTTTTCTTTATATCTTTCTTGTATATCTATCAAAGAATCATTTAGAAAACTTTTATTCTTGTCCTATTTTTTTAACAGTTATTAAATAAATGGAATATAATTAAAATATATATAAAATTAATCATAAATATATTCTCCGAAGATCTCCAGGAGAAGTAATGGCATTGCATTGAGGGCAAAGTTTTTTTGTACCCTATATTAAAAATATAAAATGAAAATTAGAAAACTTTTACAGGTAAAATTTTAAATAACTGTGATATATATTCTTACCAAGGTTCGAAGCCAGCATTCTTCACAATGAACATGCCAACAACAGACAGATACAGCAGGTTTTGTATAAGAATCCTATTAGAAAGATAAATTGCAATTTCAGTTATTTTGAATTAAAAATTAAGATTTGTTAACTATAACTGAATCTTAACAAACTCTGTTAACACTCCATCATTCTTAATAAATATTTGTGAAAAATAATTTTAAAAAATATATATATACATATACAGTAATACCCTGAACTTACACTATAGATGGGACCGAGCGATAACCATGTAAGTCGAATTCGCGTAAGTCAGGGTATAATTTCGCAATTTGTGTAAAATCCAAGTCGAATGTATGTAAGCTAATAAATGTTCTCATTAATCTTATCTCACCTTTTGATTCGTTCACGGTTACAAGAAATCACCATATAGAGTCTTTCAAGTCTCCGTAGATATAACAAACACAGAAATAAATAACACAAAATAAATTGTAGCTATGTGTTGATTCCGCATGACATGTCCAAACATGTAAGCTGAACAATAGTGTGGGAGGAGTGAGTAATCAACAGTTGCGTGGCGCTCAAACAAAAGATGAATCGACGAGATTTGAAAATCGCATAACTCCGGGTTCGCGTAAGTCAGGGTTGCGTAAGTTGAGGTATTACTGTATATATAAACATATAAGCTTACATATTAGAACCTTGAAAATAAATTACAAAGTTTCTAAAATTTCACTTGACATTAGAATTACTTATTTACATTTAAACTAATAAAAAAAACAAGTTAGAACATAAAATTAATTGTATCTGACTTCTATTTGAAGATATGATAGTGATCTAAATTATTTTAAAATATTTTTTTTCCATAATAATAAATTTTTTTAACTAAACAGCTTATTTTTTTGAATTTTAAATATGGTAGCAAGTTTCATGTAATTCTTTGATAAATAAGTAATAAATTGCCCAGTGTTACTAATCTTATTTTCATTATGTATATTTTATTTAAAAATACATATTAAAACAACTTGTAATTTTTGTTTCTGCAATATAAAAGGAATAAAGTGGGGTTGGACCATCCTTTTTGGGCTATTCCATACATAAACATATAAATTTTCCAAAAAGTACTTTTGGTATTGGCTAAACTTAAAATATTACAATTAGTATATTGATAAACTAGAATGAAAATTCATTAAAAAATTTATTTGTGGTTGGAAGTCATAAGCAACTAAACTGAAACTTAAATTTATTTTTTGCATTTTCTTTCTAAGAATATATTTTTAGTGAATTTTTATCCTGGTTTGTTAATACACAATTTGCAATTTTTTTAAATTTAATCAACACTAAATGATAATTTACACAATGAGTTGAAGATGAATCTAAACAGAAAGATCAATTCTGCTTTGTGATTTTAAGTGTTTTGTAATAAGACAAACTGTAAAGATTTTGTTACATTGTATTTTTTAATGAATTTCTGTCCTTTATTTTAAAATTACACAAAACTGTAAAAGTTATTTTTTCAGAAAATGGATTAAGAACCTTAAACATAACACTTATGATAATCAGATAAGCAATTTCACAGATTTTAAATTTAATACTGACAACTATTTCTCTCTAAATCACTTTTTACATTAGTTTGCATATCAGCACAATAAACTAATAACAAAAAAATTAGATTGTTTTTTATTTATTTTTTTAAGATATACAAACATATTTTATATATCATATTGTACTTGTTAATTTAATTATAAAAATGAAAAAAAATATATTTAACTAAATTAATTCTAGTAATTCAAACACAAATTATTTATTGTATTTATTCAGACACTTGGCAAATCTCATCATTAAATTTTATTCAGTTGATAC